CTCAGTAAAATTTACTTCCCTATACATATGCAGTTATATGAGAAATATTGGTAAAGATAGCGAGAAAAAACGGCGAATTTCTTCAGGGGAAAACCGGTATTGCCGAGCCCATGGCAGCGAAAAACGGGTAATAAAATTATTTCCCTATATATAATAATATTACTTCCTCTAACAACGCTCATTCAAATCCAATGTTAAGGTTGAGTAAATCTTTCCTAGCCAAGTACTTGGACGGAATCAGAAGAGTCTGATTTTTCAATTATATGACTCTAGGACAAGATCTGGCAATTGTGCATCTAGTAATTTGCTAGAGATTACTCGGAGTGGACGTGGCGCAACATCGATCGGAATAAGTAAGTATTCAGAGCGGAGTTCTTGATTCTAGCTCTAAAATGGTTTATTTTTACAATTTTGTACTTAAAGTGTGTCATGGTGCGTCCGTCCCTCTCATATTTGTCGCCTGAATCATGAATAGACCTTGTATTTCAGGGCAAATGCCTATTTAATTTGTTAACGAAGATTCGGAAAATAACTAGGTGTTTACGTTACGAATCAAGAAAAAATCTTCCAAAACTATCTTGTCTAAAATGTCAATTTCATTATTTTTTGCCTCAAAGTTTTTGAAACAAGTAATTTAAGTAAAACAACTAATTATGATATTTTACTAATTTTACTTTCTTCTGTGTATGAAGTATTATACGTTTAGACTTATAAAGAGGAAGTTATGCAATACTGCAAAAATCAATTTGGAGATTTCAATAGAAATACACGTTTTGAGGTCCACTGATCATGATAAAATGTATTTTAAACACCCCTACGTCTGTTTATGAACATCACTTCCTAAATGTGTAGGATTTATCCCATTCAGGTATCATACTAACCTTTTCATTTATTTAATTATTTAATTTATTTATTTCACTAACATTTATTTATTTATTTATATATTTATTTATTTATTTAACGTCAACAGTTAAAAACTATGTGTCATACTATGGGAAGAAATGTATTCTTTGAGAACAAAGGGAATTTTTAGACATCTGCGTCCGGCGGCAGCGGCTCGCCATCGTAACAGTACTCGTAATTTATTGCCAGAAATAGTAAACAAACTGTAATTGCATATTAGACGGAATTTTTATCTTTGGGGTCATATATTCTCGCTACTAATCTGATAACCCTACCCGAGTCTCACTACATACATATGGGAATCAGGTTGTGTAAAGTGTGCACGATTAATACACTACAACTTGGCAATTCCTCTTTACCACAGAGACAAAGACAGTGGGAACGACAGAGGCAGACAGAGTCCAATGGAGACAGATAGAGACAAAAGTGAAACGAATTGCATTGGCTTATCCCTCAACCGGGCTTTCACTACCCCATGGCGTTAGAAAAACTAGAGGTGCTTCAAGATCACATACTTTCTAGTATTAATGGAAACAGTTCTATAGTTATATTGTAATATTGCAATTTCTGCCGTGGGAGCACCTCAGCTGTAAACTTGAAAGACAAATTCAACCAATTTACACGAAGTACCTGTGGTGCATGCCTGCATTTGCGAATATTTCAATAGCCAGAATGAGTAGTAATTTTTTAGATCGACAAACAAAAACAAACCTGAATAAATTTAATTGTTACAAATTTGCAGCACATTGTACAGAAAAGCAAAATTAATTTCACATAAGCGTGTCTTTATTACATGGAAGCGACCGACCAGGTTTTGAATCCTGTAATCAGAAATTAAAACTTTTTAAAGTAAAAGAATTGTATTTGTTAGGTAATAGTTATTTGTAAGTTAAATCTATTCCTTTAATAATAAGTCTATTCCCATTCATAAGAATGACAATTCTTTATCTACATCATACGATCATCACAACCCCAGCAGTAAGAATAATTATGTTTTCGCAATTTTCGAAGATACAGAGAGTTCGCTGAAAATGGAACCTGCACAAGTTTCTTCACACTTATTTGCCACATACGAGGAAATAATGCATAAACAAAATTTCAACCCGCTTTTGAAAAAATAATTGTTTAAAAATTATCTCCGCATAATTACGCAAAATGACGCATATTTTAGAAAAATTGAACAAGACTTGATTTAAAACTCGATTTTTGTAGATGATCTTCATTATTGCAGTTGTAGGAAGAAGCCTATAAAAAAAATTGAACTTTTCCAATTTTCGAAAATTCAGGGATTGTAACTAAAATGCGACATACGCCATTTATTTCTGCATCTTTTGCTTTATCAGAAATAAAAATTTAAGAAAAACTGGAGCCATGTTTGAGAAAATGAATAAATTGTTGAGGTTTCATATAACGTACCTACTAAAATCAAAACATCCCATTCAAATTACAGGGGCCTCGACATCAGTCAGATCGATTGGGGGACATACATGTTTCTGTGAAAATTGTCATTACGGTTTAGTCGCTAACGTTGTTCATAGACGTGGGATAGATAGATGGACAGACGTTTCTCTGAAATCATGTTTTTCCGTAACAAGGACCCACTAAATGTAAATTCTAACTACCCAACGTATTGGAGAAGTAATTTACTACGTATAGGGAGATTTATCCTCTTTTGCGTGACCAGAGTCAGGGAATAAGAGTTCTTGTGAAATAACTGTCGTTAGTTTCGTAACATTACAATACTGTACAATCTGTACACTGTGCAAATAGTAGGCGATATAGTAAAAATAAAAAAAATCCTAAAGTAATAAAAACAAATTGAAAGTTTCAGGGAAATCACTATAGCTTTGACTTTTATTATACAGCAGTTACCAGTATGACGAGAATGCATGTGATGGTATTGCACTAGTTATTTTCCTCCTCCTCGATGTCCTACCTAACATTATTGAAACTTGATCATTGCAGGGGTTGATACAGTACAAAATGTATTACGCTAAAAGATTGAGCTGGTTGCGTTGACAGTGTTTGGAAGTGTTGAGCTAATATTACAAATTCATAAGGAAATAAAATAAATAAATAAATAAATTATAAATAAAAGTATAAGTGTACATATGTTTTCTCTTGTAGGTTTTAAGAGAGAACATTTAGTCCTTAAAGAAAGCCATGGCAGTCTCAGTTACGAAATATTTCCAGTGTCTGAAAGAATATGTGTCTCCGTCGTATACTCAACACCTGAAAGTATCGGAGATTTAAAGTTCAACATAATGTTTTCCAATGGAACAAAATATGAAGAGTCAAAATACACGGAACGCCAGGTGAGTATATGAAGTCGTAGGAGTCACATATGTAATGATTATTTCTTCTTATTAATTGTATGTAGACAATGGCATTCATAATTTGAAAGAGAGATGAAAGTATAGAAATAAAAATGCTTTGCAAAATGCCATGCAATTTGAAATTTTCATGAGATGCTGTAAGCAGATTTTATAGCTCATAAAGTTAGGCTTTGATAACTTTTCATTAATTTGGTTTGTAAATAATTTTACGAAAAATTATTGTAGATAATTAAAAATTGTATATTTATTCGGTATCGTTTAGAAAATGAGGATTACTTACAAAGTATTCGGACATAAAAAGTGTTTCAATTCGAGTCTGGAAGTACCGAAACTACTTTCCGCTCTAGTACTGAAAGTAAACTATATTAGAAAACAAAATACGAACGGAAAAATATATTATATGTTCTCGCGATCTTCAATTACATTTGTATATCTCACGGACAAAATGTCATTATATTCAAATCTTTAATAAAAGATTCTACATCACACGGCAAAAGTGACTTTCCACGACACGACAGGATTACTACACTTTATGCTCTGTCCCAGAACTCTTCCGTGTAGAAACATACACATCTTTTTTTCATTTTTTTAAAAAATTTTTAATTATAGGTCGCATCAACAGCTAAGTCGTAAGCGACCTTGTGATATGGTGATAGTGAGGGGTGACGATATAGATGATATTTAATGTGCATGATAAGACCATGAAGGCAACACCTCGTGGAAACCGTGGATAATGACGAAATGAGATTGGACGCACACAAATACAGACCCTGAGGCGACCCTTCAGTCCGAGATAGCTACGGCCGTATTCTTACTGCCTAAATGATCTCGGCCATCCGGACGACATTCGTGTTCTTGCCTTATGATGTAAAATACTACTATCAGCACGCCCGGGATCATTTAAAATATCCATGCGATACTGTCTCAGACATCTCCGGTAATATGAAAACATAAGGCATAATCTAAATTAGCATTCATAAAATATGTGTGTTCTGAAAAATATTTTTATGAAGATCATTATTTAATAGTTAAGCTTTATATACCTTTTACGTAAATTGCTTAATTTAACGTCTGTTGAGGTCAAAATATTAAAATTAATGCATGCATTCCTCCTAAAAACAATTATACGCCGCTCGTTTCAATAAACAAACTTACATTCCCTTCCATGACGGAAATTATTAATTTGCATTTATACATTAATCCATTTCTCCTTTGAATGGATTATTTATTTCTGATTTTTTTGATACGAGATGATCCTTGTGTTTTTAGGAACCAAGCATTCGTCGACTGTTGAGGTAACACTCACAGTCTCAAAATTACGTAAACAGAAGTTTAACAATCACTGTTTGCAGCCTTTTCACAATTTTGAGAAGTTAAAAGATTACTCGAATGGTTCAGTCTCATTTTGACATTATCCACGGCTTCCATGAGGTGTTGCCTTCACGGTCGAAGCGGACGCATTAAATATCGTGTTTCGCACGCCAGTATGAATCATCTAGTATATCTTCACAGGGTTATGAAGAAGAAGAAAAAAACATACATATTTTTTTCCCAAAGAGATCTGTGTAACATCATATTTTTCAGTAGCTAAAGTGACATCTACTTAGAGAACAAGAACGTTTGTATTAGTTGCCTGTAACACAGTTTTTATAGTTATGTTAGATGTGTTATGCAAAATAAGATATAATAAGGTCTCGTGTTGATCGTGGCACATGTTTTGCAATTGAATATTTTTATTGAGTTTTTTCGAATGAATGAAGTTTCATTAGGCACTGGTGCCCTTTCTTTGTCAATTGTAATATGGATAAATAAAAAAATACAATGCTCATGTAATTGACATTTCTAGTTTGGTGAATGGAAAATGCGAATATTCAAATCATCATTAGGAAAAATGACAAATGACAAAATTAATTTACAACTTGACGTCTCTGGTAAAGGAACAATATTGCACAGCATTTTTGGCTGCAATCCTTCCGGTAAGTTAAGAGTTGGCGTCATGCAATATTTTACGTCAGGTTTGTCCAACTGGCGGCCCTCGGTGCCATTTATTGTGGCCAGCGAAAAGTCATAAATCAAAATGAAAGACGCTTGCATCCATGTCGGGCGAGAATATTGCGAGCGCAGGGACCCTGCCGAGGTCAACACCCCATTTAATGTAAACATTGCTGTTTAGATTGGATTATAAGATTTATTTTTCTAAATTCAGCAATTCAAAATCATCCCAATGTGTTGTAAATTTGTTGCTTTCCCATTCCATTGAAGATTTTAAAATCATTCCAATGTACGCATGGTACGACCTCATATCACACATAGTTCCTTTCCCCCCCCCCCCGCTCTGTCCGAGATCAACAATACGGGGAAGCCAGGCGTGGATCGCCCGAGTGATGGAAATAAGGCCCGCAATCATATTAAATGTTGTAGTTGTGGCCCTTGAGGACTTGCACGTTGGACACCTCTGTACTATGTATTTGAGAGTTAATCTCTTTGCCTGCACTTTTGTTCATTGAAATTTCTGTTCAAAAGGTCAGAAAGATATTACAGTTATGGAGAACGATGTTAACATTCCCGATCCGGTTATGAAGCTGCAGGACTTCAAAGGTATGCTCCAACAGTACCAGTTGCATTTAATTTTTTAATAATAATGCAATGGCAGTACTCTTCAGCACTGCAATTATCATGAGAATGATCTTAATGATACCTTCACGTCATATTGGGTACAGTGCCGCCAGTGTGCAGGAAAGACCGGCACCTTGGCCTTAAAAGGACCCGATGGCTGCAGTGGAACACCTTAGACGCCACGATAGAGACTTAAAGATAATGATAATAATAATAATATAAATAATAATTATTATTTATATTATTATTTTATTAAGTCGGCCCCGTGGTGCCGTCGGTTGTGGCAGCCGTCGTCTGCGCCGGGGAGCCTGCAGGTTTGAGACCTGTGTAGGCATGGTCGTGTTTGTGTGTCCCATCACCTCTCATTATAATTGTATCACCTCAAACTTCAAGACCTTGTCTTTTCAAGAGATACAGCCGTAAAAAGCTGATCCCCATAATTGCACACGTTAATCTCTCTGGGGCCTTCGAATATAACGCCATTATGGTCATAAATGGCTGATATACAAATAATAATAATAATAATATATGTAATCTGTGAACTCGAACTTTCTTCCTGTGAAATTTCCCTTAACATAAAAGAGAAAATGGTTAGAAGAAGAAATGTAATGAAAATGTGCCTTAACGTGCCTTGTTCTATGAATACCTGCTCAGACACCGAGCCACCTAATCGATAATGCTACCTTATCGATGACTGACCATCCTAAGGATGTTAGTCCCAGGGACCAAAAACCGGTAGTAGCTCCTAGCTAGCCTCCGAGACGGGATGGATTGAAGGAGGTGATGCGGTGTTTTTACTATGCAAAAGCGAAACATGTGGGCTCAGAAATAGAAGTTTTTAAGTTTTGGAGAGAGCGGACCACGCGTGATCTTTCCTTCCCCTTCCGTGTCGTGTCCTTACTTACATAGACACCCTTGCACTCACATGCACTACACTACCACACACGTCTGGTGGTGCCCAGCTGCTGGGAGATACCTGGTCGGGGAAAACACCGCCAGCCGACGGGTAGGTCGACGACGTACCTCGCCATCCAACTGGGGAAGATCACCACCATCTCCCCGGCAAAAAATGCACTACTCTTACGGAACTAATTACCTTTCAGTTGACGTGAACGGAAACACCCATCAATCAAACAGGGCGCTGTACAAACTGGAGTCAAGCTAACTTTACTCAAATTAATATCTTACTCGACATGAATCCTCCTAATGGATTTAGAAATAACAATAGAATTCTCAGAAATTAAAAAAAATAGAAAAATAATGGATTTTGGTTTTTCTTCGCAGAAAAATACCAGTCTAGACAATTTCTAGTCTGAAATTTATTTTTTCCCACTTTTTATTCACTTATGTACACTTCTCTATAAAACATTTATCAAACTGTACACTTCAAGACCAATCCATTTTTACGTAAAATTAAATATATTTTATTTTCAAAACAAACAAAAAAAGATGAATCAAATGGTAGCTAATTTTGTACAGTACCGATGTACTCTATGTTAATCAAATTTTTGTGACCATGTAGTAAGGAATATATTTTTCTGTTATCAAAACATTGCTTTACAACGCACCCGAAAAACGTCATAATTACTGTGCGCGTCAACTACTGTGTTCCTTATTCCCGGAAGCGTAGTGTATATTACGCCCCGCGAGGCCGGGGTGTTCCTACCCCGCTGGAACCATGGGTCACGTGGTCACTTACACGTCAGCTTTCTAGGTCTCCCCCTCCCGATATCGGTTCTTGTTGGCACCGATCAAGGCGAGACAAACTCTAATCTCCCGAATGGCTTGTGCGGTGTGTGTTTGTACAAGGGGTGAGGATGAAACAGGGAAGACCACGCGCGGTCCGTGGCCCGTTTGTTAGGGTACTGCTCCGGCATTCGCTTGGTATTGTGACAATCCATACGGATTCGTCAAAACATTAATTTCAATTTATTTTAATAGACCCGGAAGGGATATGTTTGAAATAAACAAATAAAGTCATTCGGAAAAGAGGTATTTACTTATTTATTTATGCATTTATTTTTCATTTATTTATTTATTTTACGGCAAAACAGTTAAAAGTGTGTGTGACGTGCTGCAGAGAGAAGTGTATACTGTGCACGTTTTATTAATTCTGGGACTCCTTTCCTAGACCACATACAAGTTGAATTCTGAATACAGAAATAAATGAGCGTTGTTAACAAAATATTAGCTTTGATGTTATAAAATCTATTTTCAAAGGCAAATCAGCTAACGACTTGGCTTCTTATCATTCATATGTCTTTGGTGAGGGCATATACTTCTGCCACGACAATAATATAACGATAATTTGAATAACTGTATTACCCACTGAACTCTAGAAGACGTGCACAGATAATGAAGTGACATTTGTACTCCGGTTCCGAATCGGGTGCGGTTATGGCTTTATCACTGCTACAGTGAAGCTAATACCTAGTTTTCAAAAATTTTTTTTTTAGATTCATCGGGGAGATGTCTAAATGGAGGTGTGTATAGCACAGAGGCAGAGATGTGCATTTGTCCTGAAGGTTTCACTGGCAACAGTTGTGAGGAAGGCAAGTATCATTTTCCCACAGTAGTGAGCTTGACTGGACCCTTTTTTTGTGAAGGGAGAACATACCTCTTTTGAAAAATTTTTATTCCGAGGGGCGTTTGAAAGGGTAAATTAAATGAGGAAATAGTACTTTTATTACAAAACCCGTTTTGAGGTTGACACGAATTTTTATTTTCTGTATAACGCCCAGTGTTCGATCAGCCTGACCGCGGCAAGCAAGTTACAGCTCAGTCGCAGAGTAATATCATGCAAAAAAGAGGAACACTGAAATGTTTTCATATTTCCGAATCATAAATTAATGTTATGCAATTAACCTCGACAACGTGTTAAATATTTCGTATTTACATCCATACCCTCTCGAATTTTATTTTCACAAATGCCTTATTAAAAACGGCCTTGTCAATACGTATTGGAAATACAACATTTTCTTAAATTACATTAGCTTATTAGACTGCTGATCACCGGGTAACAGTTTTCAGGCTTCCTACTAAGCGACTGCTATGAAACCGATGGAATTTTCGTTCCAACTTATTTTACAACATTCCAATAACATATGCATTTATGAAATGAAATGAAATGATTACTCTTTAGTAATACATAATATTTATACCTTCGTATGATAAATTTACAACTAAGATAGAAAAAGTAAACATTAAATATTATCGAAAGATGTAATGAATAGACCTGTACAATGAATGAAAAAATCTTTAACTTGTGCATTTCACTATGTTCACAAGCGTTGTCACAATGGCTAGAAACAAATAATCGCTGAAAAATCTCATTTTAATCATAATTTTGGTAAAAATAATGCTTGAATTCTAAAAACTTGATCAAAATGAAGTTCCAAAGCAATTAAATGTGCTTGACTTATTTAAATTAAAAATCGGTATGTAGGTCGATCCGATACAGAGTTTTTGAATTACACTTACAAAAATTTTCTAACATGTCCGTGTGTCAGCACCCAACCTCTTGGTATTCCCTGATAATGAACGTAAGATAGCAATGCGAATGACTTTTTGGAATACTAACAGTTTTTCTTACAGTTCTGTAGCGTGACAAACTAATTCGAACCTGTCCCCCATTAACTCGTAAAACTCTCGTAGTCTCTCTGGATATGAGGATGGGGGAACCGATCATCGCCCAGTCCTAAGAGTGGGATTTGGATCAGGGTAGAGAAGAAAATATGGCGCGCTTTTGTGTCATGATGTTTAAGATTCGGCATTGGTTTGGGCGACGATCCTTCGAAAGAATTCGTGGGAATAGCCTTCACCGTCAGACCTCTGGAATTCTCATTCAGGTAGAGGTCGCCCTCACCCCAGCTACTTAGCAAAAGTCGACAATTCGCAAACGTTTTGACTTGAACCTACGACTTCCCGACCTACGAAGCCTCAATTCTCACTACTACATACGCGACCGTATATCGCCACAAATACGAGATGAAAATAACCATGACCGACACAGATTTGAATCTGTTTCCGCCCTGCCACTTGCGCCTGCGAAGTCAGCATGACAAAATTCTTCCCACAATTAAATGTTTAAAGTGTGAGTTATTTCGATTGAAAATGATGAAATTGGTTACAGATATATCGTCTGAACATTTTTTTTCCTATGAATTTAAAATTTCTAGCCTTAGTGAGAACTCTCAAAAAGAGGTTAAAACCCCTGTGAGAAACAATACGATAGACGGTATTGAGTATAATAAACCGACAATATCACGGAAATTTTTTATATATAAAATTGCTTATGTTCTTGACTGTTTTTACTGCAGGTTGTGGTCCTTTATTTTTTGGACGCAACTGTTCAAGCGAGTGTTCAAATTTCGCTACTGGTTGCATAGGAATGATATTTTGCAAGAAGAACATGCCGTGTCGTTGCGCAGCTGGATTCGAGGGGACATTTTGTGAGAAAGGTACGCATGAAAGGCACGAGTAAAATTTCTTACATTTATTTTATACCATTAATGAAGCTATTTGTTTACATAACTGTAGAATGCGCATCCGGATATTATGGTGCAAGTTGTTCACAGAAATGTGGACATTGCAAATATGATTACTGCGATAAATTTACCGGATATTGTCACTATGGCTGCGAGCCTGGGTTTGGGAGACCATTCTGCCGCATTCGTGAGTTACCATTATTCATATCAATAATTCGCTACATCATATTGCAATAGTTTAATAAGAACTTTAAAAATATTTTTTTTTCGTTTAGCGTACAAGTACTCCAAAATTTCACCATTGGTAACTTATCAAGGCGTGAATGTTGTTACGGTTGAGATAAACACAGATGAAGTTGAAGGCATAGGAGAGACGGAATATTACCAGCTTCAGTACAGAGAGGATAAGGTGAGTAAGAAGTTCTAATATTATAAGAGCAGGTGACTCAAAAGTCATGTTTCCATAGGAACTGTTCAACAAACCCAGACTTATTATTCCATCTGTACCATCTACGATAGTTGCATAATCTTGGTTATTAGAACTTGTGTAGTTTGTGAATTTATACACTATGGTGCTCATTTATATATCCTTGTAAGAGTACTAAGAACGGGTCTGCCGTATTTCAAATTTTTTGATCATGAAATGAGAAATAACTTCGTACTTACCTCGTCAATGAAAGCTGGCCTTGTCAATTGTGAGAAAGAACCTAATCTCTGTGACATTCGTGCTTCAGGTGGGATCAGTGGGATTGATATAATTCGACCCTGAATATAATATTGAATTCTTTCGAGATGGTCTTATATCCACGTCCTACGGTGTAGCTAATGGCGGCTGTTGATATATTGTTGTGGTGTTATGGTATTATGTGTATAACATGTGTTAGGCTTCCTTAGCACAGTGAGTTATAAGTAACGCGTGACGTTGATCAAATATTTCGCTGCCGATCCGGTGGCCGAGATCGCTAAGGCAGTTGTGCCTTAGCGATCTCGGACCGAAGGATCGCGGGTTCGTGTCTCGCCTCGGGCATGGTTGTATTGTGTTCGTCCTTTCTCCCCGTATCATCATATCGTGTCATCCTCACTGTTACTGTACCGTTACAAGCCATAATGGTCGTTAATGACCGAGAAGTTGGTGCGACATTAAATAACGCACCCCAAAAAAAGATTCCACTAGAATACACATTTTCGTATGTACGTGGATTATGGATGTATTCGATTTAATAAGGATAAATATTTTTACATACTTATTAAAATGTGTCATTTTAGGTTTGTTGTCGATAATATAGCCTTTTGAGTCAACTGCACTAAAGTAACGTATCAATTATAAAACTGTTCTAGTTTATTTATTTAATAAGAAAAAAGTATGTGGTAGAAAGTGGCTTGTTTATTTCCATCGATTGAAAAAGAATTAATAGATAATCTGAGCTTTTATTGTTGAATAAAGCTTTTTTTATCGCAATACGAGCACTATCGGAGCTTCAAGATAGTAAAGAATAATACAAATATAAGCGTTTGAGTTTACTATGTTTTGGTGTTGTTAATATTACGAATTCCTCATTTTTAAACTCATTTGTATATTTTGTGTGATTTTGTTTATTGTCTGTATTGGTCTTATTATTTAGTTATCATTGATATGGATGTTGCAGAGAATATATCGAAAGTACTATTTTATTTTATTTTGGTCAATTGCAGAATACTTTTTGGACAGAATTACAGCCTCATAAGTTAAGAGATACTGTGATTGCAACTAACATATCAGACCTATTGCCAGGAGTTGATTACAGAATGCGCGTGATTTACATAGACAAGGATGGAAACAGTTACCAGCAATCGAAGGTGCCTACAACTCTTTTCTCAACTCTTTGTACAGGTAAGCTCAATGACCACTGTATGCAAATACAGGGAAGAGAAAAAGAGACAATATTTTTTCTTCAAAAGATTTCACTGTGTTAGAAACTAACAACGAACATTGTTGGGGGATTATTTTATTATTGTGGTGTGAGAAGATGGGGTTTGAAAATGGATTACTTTATTCAAGATTATTTTTATAAATGGGAGGGAAGGGTTATTGAATTGAATTAATGCCTTATTTTACATGGCGAGACTCAGGCCATGAGGCCTGAACTTCCGTCTGACAACGCAAATTTCGCTACGAACCTTTCACCAACTAGCAGAAAAAGGAGGTATTTCTTGGGCGAGAAACAGGCAATTTGAATTTAGCTCAGATGCGTTATTTAGGCTTGAGTATCTTTTACATGCAAGTAAATCTACTAACATGGGAGAGCCAGCTTTACTTCCCCTCCGAAGGGAGGCGTACGAAGGATTTTTTCGCCCTTAAAAATCCATGACTTCGAGCGGGTTTTTAAACCCGCTGACTTGGGTACAACCGTTACACCGCGCGCTACGGGATGACGGGTATTTTGGCATAAAAAGGATAAAACGTATTTTCTGTAAGAAGCAGAGAGATGTGAATGGAATGAAAGGATGTATTTAAAAATTGATCTTGCTGTTGTGATGAAAGAAGACTGCATTTGGAGGAAGAGGGGGACCAACCAACAAGACCCACCGCTTGTAAGGAGTTAAACAATAATTTATTGTGAACATTGTACACCGTGTGCCCTGAACAACTTATTAATAACGTAACAACTCCCCCGCGCGTATTAATCTAATCTGTATGTGAAATCATGCAGTTGTAGGAGAGCGACGGAGGACGCAGGTGAAGGAGGTGGCGGCAAATGTGGTGCGGGTGGCAGCAACGCTTAAGCATCGTTTACACGCGGACCGACAGTCAGCAAGGCAGCCGCTGTCTTCAGCCGCTTCAAAGAACTGGACCGGCAAAAGTGGCTCAGGGCATCAATTGATATAACTACAGTACCAGAGGTCCTAAGGTTCGAGTCCGGACGGTCTGGCAGGATTTTCGATACTAGCTAGCTAGATAGGTCGAGTACAACCACTGCTTGGAATTCTAGAGCTCGTCTGATCTGATCGGTACTTTTCCGTGGTTTCTCCGATCAAATCGAGGGGAATGCCGCATCTATATCCGAACGAACAGGCCACGGACCGCACACGATCTTTCCATTCTCTACCTTTTCCGATCTTTACCCCTTATTTCCAGAGAGATGGTAGTGTATAGCGGTACCAAACAGTAGCGACTATGTGCCTCCGACGAAATTCGCCATAATTGTGGATACTTTTGTATCGAGTGATTAATAGATGCAGACTCTTTCAGTGAACATGTGTGCGAATTAGGAACGGTTTTTGGATGGAAATAGCGGAGATATGAGTGATTTTTGCTGCGGCGCCATACCGAGCCGTACAAAGCATTTGATAGCATATTGAACTGTAGATTAACGTTCCTTTCTAGATGTGTGTTATTTATAGTGACAATAGTTTTATTTTTTAGTTTCATTGATAGAGTTACAGCTGTAGATGAGTTCAGAATGTAGCTTAGTTCCCCGGTAAAAGCGCCATTTTTAAGGACTAAAGTGAACAGTTGCTAAAGTAGAAATTTTCACGTTGTTGGAAGACAAGACCATTCCATCGCGGCCTTCTGTTACTTGCAAAAAGCGGAGAATGCTGTTTCTTAATAAGGCAATTTCAATCCAATTCAATGCTCTTTCTGAACGTATCGGTGCTTCACACATCTTAATAGACACATAACCATTAACTGTAGCTGTATTTTGTGTAAATTCCGCTGCCATTTCGTCTCTTCCAATGAGCGAAAGGAGTGGTGCGGTGTTACCAGCGCACCGTGCGTTCGGCGACAGTGGCTGACGGCGTTGCCGCCTGGGCCACTTGGTGCACGTGGCTACCACGTGGAGTGCTTGCGGGGCCGCTTCTCCGCCGACACGTAATAACTACCCTAGTGGCAGAAGAGGTGCTACAGTACAGTAATTCCGGCAGGAGTGTTGCGCCCAGGTTGTAGCCGAGACCTTGCTGTTGGTCCTTGGCACACTCGGTTCCCATCTGAATCGCTTGCATGACCTCTGTACCGCCGAAACAATACCCCGTCCGCCGTAGTGGCGGAACATGGACAGCGGTATTGTAGTGTGGTGTAGGGTGTTCTGAAGGTAGATGAGACCTGGCTGACAGATCTGTCACGATAGTTTTATCGGACGGCCGCATGTCTTAGCGTCGCCGTCGCATGTCCCTTACTCCGTAGTGGCATATGCCCCTAGTGACCTGCCCCCCCCAAGTGATATTTTTTGTACATCTTGTCCCTTAAGCCCCTCTTTGCCACCCAGCAGCATATGCCAATGTGGTCTGTGCCCCCCAATGACGTTTTACATCTTGCCCCCAGTGACCCTATACCACCCAGTGACCTTTGTTACCCCCAGACGTCTGCGATTTACGCGTTGTTCATATGTTCTTTGCCTATGCACGGGGACCATGACTAGTCTTGAAGGAACTCAGTGTACAGACGTCTGGTACCCCTGTTGCTGTTGAGGTACCTAAAGTAAGTTTTAAAGCTGTTCTTCAGGCTTCGACATCTAGCAAGCAAGTTGCTTATGGTTCGGATGGGGGAAATGTGCTAGCTGTTGCAAATAAGGGAGGTGAATAGAAACAAGAGGCACTTTGTAACCTCGAGAAGAAGATAATTGAGTTTCTAGAGTTTCTTAAACCTCGTAGCAACGTGCACAGCGAGATCATGAAGTTGGCCCATGCAATTCACACATGTTTCGATAATGTTACGGTTCACGAAAGAGAACCGTCTGCCCCAAATCCCCAGTGTACTAATAGGGAGTCCGAAGAGTTCGTCAATGAGGTGTTCTCCAAGACGAATAACCCCAAAAAATGTAAGGGGAAAGGAAAGAAGTCGGGAATTGTTGGGCAACCAAGGGTGGAGGAGTCGCCCTCGTGAGTATGGTGATGCTCCCGAGAGCGAATGGAAGATAGTTAAGGCAAGGAGGAAGTAACCATCGCACTTCATTCCAAGTGTAAGGATGCCTTTTTAGTGAGAGCCAAAATGAGGGCGACGTACGCGGAGATTTTGTGACACATGGAGGAATCCCCAGAGAAGAACTAGGCCTCATTGTAGTTAAAATAAGAAAGAGGTAAGGGAGACCTACTTTTGGAGATGGGAGCCCCGGGCTGCTTGAAAGCAGCGCAGTTTCAGACCATAGTGGCAACTGCAAGGAAAATGAAAGTAAATGCATTGTCAAGTGAGGTTCTCTTGGAGACTAAATATCTCGATGAAGTGACGACAGGCAAATAAAATCTTGAGACCTTTGAGAGACAGCTGGAGGGAGCCTAGGACAAGAAAGTAATAGTTACGATACCCCGTCGTTGGAAGTAACAACGGCCGTCCCTCCTTCCGAAGGGCGATAAGCCTCCTAGCTTCCTGTCAGCATATCGGTCTATATGTTTAGTGGATACTGCAGGCAAGGTGTTAGAGCGGATCATCTGCAAAGGGATTGAATCATACACGGAGGCACCAGAGGCACTGTCTGATAATCAATATCACTTCAGGAAGGAGATATCCTCCTAGACGCAATTAAGGTCGTCATCGACATTGCACGCAATTGAGGCTATTGAGAGCAAACGATGCAGAAGAGGCACACAGAAGTTACCCTCGACGTTATGAACGCATGTAATATAGGAAGGTGGGGTTCCATACTTGCTGGGTTAAAAAAACCCTGGTAGTTCCGAATTACACAACGAAAATAGTCAGTAGCTACTTTGAGGAAAGGACCTTGCAGTACGAAACAGAGAGCGGAATAGAGTCCTATCTCTCGGGTAGTGTTCGCAAGGCTCGGTACTTGGCCCGCAGTTGTGGAACATTATGTATGACTATATTTTGAAGCTCCAGATCCCGGGAGCCGCAAGGATATTGGAGTTGCTGACGATGCTGTGATAATAGTGGTCGGTAAATATTCTGAAGAGGTCACACACGTTGCGAACGAGGCTGTGGCTGCGATCCGGCAGTGACTAACGTCGGTGGGGCTCCAGATAGCCGAGCATAAAGCAGAGGACGTCTTGCTGACTAGCAGGAAAGTGAAGGAGGGTATTACTGTCAATATAGGAGGTAGTAAAATAGTCTCCCAGCAATCACTGAGATACTTAGGAGTCCAGATTGACGGGAGACTGCACTTCAAGGAGCCCTTATGTATAGTCTGCAAGAAAGCGTCCCGCTTGGTCTCCGCCTTGGCACGAATTACATTTCACGTTGGGGGTCCAACGCCAAGTTGCCGGAGGCTACTGTCTAGCGCGGTGAAGTCCATTCTACTCTACGAAGCCCTCATTTGTGTCGATGCCTTTGGGATCCGGTCGTACACCCGCGGTCCAAAGTCAGTGTAAAGAATGTCCACCTTGAGGGTTGCCTGGGCGTTTCGCATGATATCGTATGCCGCTGTGTATGTGATTGCTGACTCGCCCTCTATAGACCTCATGGCACCAGAAACGGCCAGGCTCTACAGACGTAAGCGAGAAGGAGCTACATTTAAGAGCGTCATCATGAAGAAAGAGAAGGGCGTGATAGTGGCCCAGTGGAAACGGCGATGGGTTTTATCATCCACTGGTAGATGGACATTTCGTCTCGACAGACGTAACGATGTGGACTCAAAGGAAACACGGAAATGTGGATCATTATTTGACCCAAATGTTAACGGGACATGAGTGCTACCATGCATACCAACTCCGTGTCCTGTTGGACGATGACTCCTTATGCCGCCCTTCCCGTAATTCAATGCCTGACGGCAGTTCCGCGGGATGGGATTCGTAGGAATGCGTGGGGTTTTTGGTGGGTAAGGCACAGGGTAGCGTGAATCCCACACGCTGCAGCGTAAGGATTCCGCAATGTCTTTGGAAGATTTTCCCCTGCCCTCGTAAGAAAAGCTTACTTAGAAACACGGTGGGTAGGGCATACAAGTGTTAGTGTATGTAAAAGAAGAGAAGACAATGATGCCGAAGGAAAATCGCGCAGTCCGTAGCCCTTTTGTTAGGGTATTGCTCCGGCAGTCGGCTGATATTAATCGGAAAAACTGAACGATAGAACTATCCACCATACAGTGACTGATATTGACCTAGCTATCAATAGTTTTAACAACTTAGAAAAAATCTAGACAGCGCATGCGCAAAAAGTGCCGGTGGGGAGGGTTACCTCTCTTCTCGGGCCAACTTCCCCGCCTGAGTAGCCGCCGACAACCTGGCCTTGTCGAACCGTCCCGAATCGTATTATCCGTTCACCCTAAACACAGTCTTCACACGTCGCCATATCGGCGAGCTTCCGATAAGCATCAGGCTCTTTCCATGCCGCCACCGCTGCACTCCACCGCCGCACCGCCACCCGCCGTGGAAGGGGATGGGTTCTGCAGGGGTAGGTTTCGCCGACCCTCCGGCGACGACGAACAATGGGACCGCAACAGGTAAAACTCCGCGACCGGCGGCGCAGTGGGAATGCCATAATTTAAAGCAGTGTTCTCCTCGCTGTCACGCGTACTCCTTCCTGCGCTTGTCGTAGCGAGGGTCTGGCGCCGAACACCGCAGCGGCGCAAACCCGTCGCACGTGGGAAGGTCTCCGTTCAAACCAATGCTCTGCTACGAGCCGCAACATCCTAAGAAAAATCCTGATGTAAACAAATGCTGTTAGGGTGATTCTCATAGGTTTGCAGTGTGAGCTCTGCTGTTGTAGGGATCCTGTTGTGAAAGTCAATAGTTCTCTGTATAAGAACTAATTTATCTGCCATCGTTCGTTAAATTAACCTTGCACGAAAACTATTGCATCGGTTTCGATAGGATAACGAGCCTCTAACAGTTTAGGCGACGACCGGGCTGATCGACGTGGTGCAGACGCGTGGGACGCAGCCCCTGGGACCGCGGCTCCGTGTCGCCGATCGACCTGCGAGGCTCTGCTATTCAGTTCGTTTTAGAATGTTTTAGAATGTGGCTGGCTCTTTAATAACTAAACACAAGTGTGGAAAATTTCTTTGAAGTAGCGAAAGCGCATATTTCTGAACGTTTTCAATTTGTTGTTGCGTAGGAATCTGTCGTTACCTGTGAAGCAAATCGCAGAGTTCACTGGAATATTTGTATTCATCGTTTTGAAACTCCGGAAAGAGCTCTCCGTCAAGAGACAACTACAAACGTCAGAGAAGAAAAGAAACGGGAAGAAACCTGTGCTTGAAGCATACGATGACTTTGTAGTGAGTGTTGTTCGATCGAAAGTGCGTTCCTTGCATCAAAAGGGCAAAAGAGCAGAAAAGAAACACCAACGCTTGCGAAATTGTTACAGCTTGTGAATTGTCATCAAGAACTTTCGAATTATAGACCAACCACTTTAAACAAATAATTGACATCCGGTTATTGACAACCGCTTCCTGAAGCAGACTGATCGTAAGTAGAGTGTAGTCGCATGAACCTGACATTTGCTTGACAGCTCTTTTTCCATTTGAATTGGCGGGGATGCTACTTGCCTCATCGAAAATAGTGCGCTAGGAGGTGCCCAATCAGAAGCGTAGTGCGGCGCAAAGATTACTTCAGTTTGTTCACGTTAGGTTTTTTCTAAGGAAGAACGGATAATGGTGATGAAGGTACGTATCTCTGTTTATCCTTTCAAGTCGAAGGGCTTTTGAGTTTGAGAAATGACATTCCTTCCCTTCTACTTAAGAACATTCAAGAACACCCACAAATAACTTTTCTTTTGGAATTTTTCTCGCTCGGAAGGAAGTCAGATTGTTAATGCTTCCTGCAGTGCATAGGTATAGATCTCCAATTTGTTACTTAGGGGAGTTTTTGAGATTTACATTTCTGTTGATATAGCTTCGACTTCAACATCCGCGAGTGTATCAAGGTGATCGTTGAGAAGCCAAGCAAGAGTCGCCAAGATATGACTCTTGCGTAAGCGAGAATGACTGTAGCGACTCCGTCAAGGGGGTGGCGTAAGAGCGAACGAAATTTCAAGAACGAATCAGCTATCGTTGCAGGCGGTTCTTGAGTTCAACTGAGCTCCCCCATGGGAGTAGTGGAGGATAGCCTCGCCATGATGGTTTATTCTAAGTTGTCGAGCTAATAGTAGAGTTGCAAATACCGCACAGTCGGGACTCGGTCACTGAAGCCTCCCTCTCTGAGTCACTGCCGTGGCAACAGTTGTTGGTCTGAGTTAACTCAGCCGGTTGCCGCCACTAGTTGCCACCACAATGCAGTCGCGGCCCAGGACTGCGGACCGGAACCTCGGTCTACCAAAACTCAACAAACACCGCCAGTGGAAGTCTACGCAACTAACTATTCTCTAGTTTCTTTTAATTTCAGTTTCTCTTTTTGCCCGCGAGAAGGGATTCCCTTCAAGTGCATTCGGAGAAAACAAAATTGTATTTAGTATAATAAATGAACGTTCTTACGTTCGACTTCTGACATTTACTTTCTTAAGAGTGCAGTACCGATTTTCAAATGAATGTGGCACACAACGTACTGTTAATAAACTTAATTGATACCTTATTAATATAAACATACAAAACAGTCAGCTTTTAATGTTTATATAAATTTGCATACAAAACGATTAATAGAATAATTGACGAAGTAGAAGGGAACGCAATTTAGACTGAGTTTGTAGTTTTAATCTCTTCACAAAATAGAGGAGAAAAATATGGAAATTTTAAACAAATTCAGGGAAGAATCAAATGTAGTTATAGAAGATTTTGCGACAGAATTTTCGAAACTAATGGAGAATAAACTACTAGAATTAGAGTATAACGCAGAGGATCTTACAGGTAATCTTTAATGCACATTTTTGTGAATATTGGCAGAAGGGCGTACAAAATGAAGCTGTACTTAACTCTTACTATTCGCATTATCAATTCTTTCAAGTATATTTAGGTCGATTATAATATTGAAATTGCAATATTACCAGTTCCTATCCCGTATGGAGGTAACATGCAAGGCCATTGACTGTTGGGAAATTGTGAACGGGACAATAACATTTTCAGCTACTACGAATGTACCTCAAGTTCGTACATCAATGCACAACAATGGGCCTGGCATTGAACTTACTTAATGTAAGTTCAATGCCAAGCACCATAATAACATACTTGAACAAAGCTAGGCATGAAAGAAAGGAAAAATGAAATAAATTTTGAACACAAAAAAATACTTTTAAAACAGTTAGCAGCATCGGCGACATCACATTCAAATAGCTATTAGAAAATTATTTTTTAGCTCTTTCAATTCAACTTTATTTTTTGGTATTATTAAATTACTGACTATAACAACAATTTTTATAATATTGAAAATAATGAATTTTAGGTTATTAATTTCAATATTTTCTGTAAACAGTACCAACATCTTTGAACTACAACTTAACAGCAATATCGACGTCATCAAGTATCATGTTGTATTGGAAAGAGGTAAGAATTACCTGAAGACTGGATTATTAAAGAATTCATCTTCCCATATTTATACTTTGGCTCTCATTTTCCAGTACGACTCCAAGAACATCCTCTGCCCTGTTACGGGATACACAATTGTGTTACAAAGGAACTGGAATAAAGTGCAATTTAATGTTTCAAGTTCTGTTAGAACGTTTGTCATTGACATGTTACTTCCAGGAGTTTCATATGAGGTGAAAATTAAAGCAATTACTGCTTTTGGAGATGGACCTTTTTCCATACCTCTCTCTGTGAAAACGAGAGATGAAGGTACGAAAGAAATTTATTTTCAGTCATCATAATGTAGTTTTGAATATTCAATGTGTGAACGAATGGATGTTTCAAGGTGATTTAATTGCAAATTTACATGCAAAGTTACTAATATCTCTACCTTTCTCCGGGTTTTTCAGTTTTGGTTAATTCAACTAAAAACCTGCTTCTTTGAAGGTTCCTTGCAATTGAAAATACTTTATGAAACGTTGGAATGGAATATAGGATTCAGTTAGGTTTTTATTCACACATTCATTCAATTCACAAATCTTCCGGTTTTATTGCGTTTATTTATTCTATATTTATTATCAGAGAAAATAATATCGTACAATTGTACAACAAACACATTTTTTCGCCTGTCTAATTATCTGAGTTCGTTAGTGAGACTTTCATACGTACTCTTAGAAATTAATTTTGAGTCAGTCGCCTTTGTCTTTATTAAATTGCTCATAGCATTGTCATTCACATAACTAAATTAATTACTTTTAACACGTTGGCTGCTATGTGAGACTATAATATTTTCTTGGCAACAGTGAAAGAGGTTCTGAAAATCAGCCAGTCAAGAATCATGTTACAAAAATTAATTTGTTATTGTTCTCTTGTAGCTCCTCTTCATGTTTCTAATTTACAAGTAACGAAAGAAGATTCTAGAAAACTACGAGTGTCTTGGAAACCACCCAAATTTACAGGAGGATCGCTTCAGAACTTTGTGGTAAAATATAAGGTAAAATATATTTATTATTAATTCTCTCAAAATAATCAAAATAAATTTACCACCGCCCTTTTACATGCAGGAAGAAGAGTTTAAAATCGTGAATATCCACTAGTACGAGAAAAAAATTAATTGCGTTTCGTTGCATGATACGCTAATAATAGAAGACGGTTCCAACCGATTCCGACAGCATGCAACACTAGTTATATTTTTTAATTTGATTGATTATACAAAATGGGTTTCCCATTTCATATTTCACTTTTCTTGGTTTTATATTATCAAATCAGTTTTAAATTTCACTTTCAGTGTATCAGACTCTTGGCGTGCGAAGAAACTTATTACGAAGACGCAAAAGAAATCAGCGTACCAGGAAATCAAAATTACGTGGACTTGGCAGTCCTTCGACCTCATGCTCAATACTTCATTGAAGTGGCTGCAATATCTGGGATTCCTGGACCGTACACATCTATTGAGGCTGCAACACAAGATGCTGGTAATATGTAATAATTAACAAGAGGTTAAAATGATAAAAAGTAAAATTTTCGTAAAAATAATATCGGCAAATGTTACACTTAATTATAAAAGTTTACAACAAGCGTTTAACATATTAATAGGTAATGTAGTTCATTAATTCAAGAGAGAGAATATTTGAGACAACCATCAAGTCAGTCAAAGTGTTTGTAAAAATACGAATGCTAACATTTTATATAAAAGTGAAAAAAACCAAAATTCCAGTATTTAAAGAAAATTATATTCTGAGTTATAAACATTCTAAACAAAATAATTCATATTAAAAAATAGAAGAAAAAAGTAAAAAAAATATCGACTTAAAATTTATTTGTTTCAACAAGTATCATGACTGCTAAATTGTACGCAAATGCATATATTTTAGAATTATCATCATTAAAATAAAACATTTCATTAAAATCTGTGCTTGTAAAACTATTTAAAGAAAGATACATGGAGCACTTATTCAGAGCAATATAAGATGTTTTCAATGACAGTGCTTGTAGTCATTTAAGTATCATTGCATAATTGTATTTCCTGATTTTTTTTTTAAATTAGCTCCCGTTGCTGCACCAGAAAAGAGTGAAAGCCCAATAGTGACCTCGACAAACACAACCATAAGTGTGCAGTGGTTGCCTTTGAAGAGCTGTTCCTTTCTAAATGGGTACCTTGTTGGATATGGTTATACGCTTTATTCTGAAAATAGAACAATACTTGCAACTGGAAATACAAGGAACACTCATATTGCATTTGATGATCTTACTCCTCAAGCTTCGTATTTTGTACATGTACACGTAATTTCTTCAGGAGGTTGGAACAGAGATAAGGAATTAATTATAAACGCTTCAACAGCAGCAACAGGTAATTTACATTCCTGGCTTATATTTGAGAAGTGTGTTTCGGGATTGTTCCAAAATAATAAAATTAATATCACAATGAGAAAACTGTATATAATTATTTTATAGTTTGAAGCAGTTGTAAATAAAATATTTGTCCATTGTTTGCCTAAACTTAAAATCTGAGAAATGTCTTGAGCTTCTTGGTATTGATGTAAAACAAGATAGAAAGTATTGGAAAAGATGAAATAATGTAAGAAAACAAGACTCGATACGTCACGCGACATAGCATAACGCACTGAAAAGAAAAGAACGAATCACTATAGAATTACTTACTTTGAAATTCTAAAGATGCGAACAGATTTGTAGTTATTAAAAATCTTTCTGTCAATTTTTCTTCTGCTAGTGTCAAAAAGTGGCTTTATACAACAGTTTGAACTCTTTTTAAGTAGTAAAATGGTAGCTGATTAACATAAACGATCACGAAGCACACTTCTCAAGCATGACGTATTTCAGAATGACAGTGATTACTCATGCCTTTACTTAGTTCCAGACGGAGTGCAGAACATGTCAATTTACAAAAGAGGACGACGAGAGATAGGGGTGCGCTGGGGCCAACCATTCAACACCTACGGAGATCTTGAATCGTTTTCGATATCTTACTGTCGATCAAATGACTGCAAAAGCGCAAACACTATACGGGTACAGCCTGCACCGTGTGTACCCTGGCCTGAGCTTTTCTGCCATTCCATCAGCAACTTGACACCGAATACTCAATATTCTGTCTCGGTAAAGTAATATTTATGGTTATACGTACAGGAGGTCAAGTTTTTAGTATGACCTTCTGGGACAAACAGAGAAGTACAAGAATTTGTAGCTTTGAGAAGCTTAACACTGTCACCAGCACCCATAATTGCGTTTTTATTTCTTCCACGCGTTACAGGGGACGAAATGTAACCACTTGCACTATGATGTTTCAATACCAAGCAGCTACAAATTTTTGAATAAAAGAAGGCGTATACGCCGCTTCTGGAAAACCAAAATATTTTAGTTTGTAGTCTACTGAAATATTGTAAAAGACATAATTTGAAAAATACTTAAGGTAACGTTCTCTCTTGTTAATGACGTTGGCGGTCGCGCGGTAAAATGTCTAAGAGCATTGGTGTCTTCATGAAGTTAAGCTTCAACTTTCCACTAATTTATTTTTTCTACACAAGTGAAAAGTAGGTTAGGTCGGGAACTTTTGAAACTTCCTACGTAAGTTTATGATGTTCATTAATCCATACCTCGCAGTGACTTAACACTTTCTCCATTCACTACACTATCTCACATGTCGGTAAACCACTCCAAAGCTTAGAGTTTGTCCCGAGTAGGTCGGTGCCCGGTTGGTGGAAGATACCCGATTGGAGTCCAATAACTATCCGGCGTGTAGGCTTATGCCGGATCTCACCATCCAGCTCAGGCACGACACTACGCCCAGGAAAACACATTAGACACTTACGGGTCTAATGACCGTAGCAGTTGATGTGTCGGAAACACTAATGAATCAATTACACTTTTTAGAATATGTTAGGATTTTTACCGGTGCGCGGGGTCTCCAGTAGATGGGAGGCTTCAAACAACTGCTTATTTTGGTTGCCGGTACAGCCAGCCATGAGTGTAAGACATCCCATCTCAATATTTGTTTCAATTTATTGTTTAACAAATTGTTTTTTGAATCAATTTAAAGAATTGAAAATATAATTTTTATTACTTCTCTTTAAAAAAGTAATTGAGATTATATTCCATAAATATTACAAATAAAATCTCAAATTACACAGTTCACTTGTAAATTCAAAAGTACCACAGGAATTGGAAA